CTTCCTTTAAATAGTAAAGGAAGTTTGTACTTCTTTGAAAGGGATCCTTCATCCATCATTGTGGTCCTTGGGTTGTGATCATTTCCTCTATTATGGCCTGGCATCTTTTGATGAACCTCCTGAATCCTTCTGAAGAGCTCTTCTTTCCTCCCTGCTAGAAAAGCAAACTCTCCTGCCAAAGACATGAGTTACTTTCAGTGAAGATTTCCTCTATTTGCTTGCTTCCCTTTTAAAACATTTCCTTGTTCTGACTTCTCTGGAAATCTTGTTGCTCTGCAGAAGTACTTTGCTCAAACAGGAACATTCAGCTTTCCACTGGTACAATCTCTTTAGCATCGCACTAGCCCGTGGAGGCTTAGGAAATACCAGCAAAAACTCCCAGCATCTTGGTAGTTCACTCAAATACTCAGAAATTGGCTATCCTCCACTTGTCCATCCAAGAGTGACACATATACACACACCCTAGCCTATAATTCCCACCTCCAGCAAGTGCTTGGCAACACTTAGGAAGGATTTAACCCCCAGGTAGCAAGGGTCACAAGGAGTCCTATTTAACGTCATGGTTGAAATGTCCTCCATGCTTCAGGAAAACACCACCCCACCAATTTGGCAGCACTGATCTTGTCAGTTCCCATGGTTAAGAGTTGGGGAAAGAGCAAAGCCAATGCTCTTCCTGCTTCACAGCCCTTTGCATCTGCTCCGTTTACTTGTTTCCAGGGATAATAAATGCCCAAGCTGCTCAGTCACTGCTTGCCCTCCCAGAGCAGTAACCTAACAGCCCCAACCCGTATGGATGTATTCATACACTTTTTACATTACCATATTACCATTAAGCAGTACATGGCACAGACTGCATAGATGGGAACCCCTTACCCAAGAGTCTAAACCCTGCCCATGTCACCTGAGAAGATGAACAGGAAATATTACCCATGAACACGCATATATAACCTAAAGATTACAGTCTACACACTAACTTCCACTACTTCCACAGGTCTCCCACAGCACTCATTGAGCGGACAGCAACAGAGCCCACGCATTTTGAGCTGCAGATCCAGCTTTCTTGTTTCCCCTGAGCTTTCACATTGCATTGGGTCAATGACCCACACAGTTCAGGTTTATCAGGACAGAGCACGAAGACCAACTAAGAAAGATGCTTCAGAAGGAAAGGGGAACACATACTCATGCCCCATTTTGCTCCACACATCCTTCCTCTTCTAACCTTACATCTTTGTCTTGCTTCTTCAAGTCCCACTGCAGCTCTCGCTGCTCTCTCTGATTCCCTATCGCCACAGCAGAAGTCTCGAGGAGCACCTGAGGATGATGAGGAGGTGCTGCCAGGGCACGAAGGAGCAGGTGCGCGGGCTGGGCACAGGACAACGTTACCCCACCTGGGCCAGGGAGTAAACAGAGTGCAAAATCATGAGTCTTACATTCCCTAAACATTGAAACAGGCAACGGATACAACCCATTACCTATGAGAGTATATAAGCACTTAAATTCTGGTAGGGCAGCCGGCAGCCAAAAGAACAAAACAAAAAGCAGATGTGTAACTTAGGAGTCTTCGCACCATTCTGCAAAGGGGCCTAAGTCTTCATAACATTCGATGAGAAACGAGAGATCCGTGAGCTTGGATTCAGAATCACACCCAATGGCATCTTTAAATGCTTCTTGCACCGGCACGTCAAATCTTGTGACACTTCTAAGTATTACTGACATGGGCAGACGCTTCATCGCCCTGCACTGGGACGTCCTGCGCTGCACGATGGCAAGGCAGCAGAACAACCCACACGCTGGAAACTCCAAATGTTGGGGCAGATGAGATGGCATTACCAGAGCGGAAATTTGGCCAGGACAGAATACACAAGGGAGCACTAAAATTTATTCACGAAGGGAACAAAGGTTTTATTTGTTCATCTTTCATCTTTGAGTAAATATAAAGCAGTTACTCACTTAGCACAATGACAGGCACTCTAGACGTGCCAAAAATAGGGAAAACTTTCTCACAACAAAGCAGGCAAATGGCTGCTCTGTTTTCCTTGCACTCCTTAAAACACATGCAAGCTACAAAGCAGCTTTTAAATTAAACCTTGCTGTGCATCCTCACAGCACAAGAGGCCCGATAAGGAGAGACTTTATCTTCCTACTACGTTAAGGCAAAGTCTGCAGTTTAATCCTTAAAGTGTGGCAGCCAGCAATCCAGCACATAAAGAACAGAAAATGGCAGATGCCACAAGCAACAGCAGCGGCTGCAGTGCTTTGAAGGTGACTGGAAACTCAGTAGGAGAGCGAGATAAAGGAGTAAATAATTTCACACAATTTCCTCACTGTACTCCTACATACGCTAATGGCAGAATCATGAAAGGGCCCATCCAAAGAGTCCGGGTGTTCCTGGGAACCTGAGAAGGGCTTCAAGCAGTGTAAGGATAGGGGGAAAAAGTAAGAAAAACCACATGGGTATTAAAAGGGGTCGCAAAAGAGATGAAGTGACGCTCACAGCATATATGGAGGTTTTTAAAAAAACAAGCAGACTAGAAACGGTTAAAAACCTCATTATAGGTCTCCTCTTGAGTAGGAAATACAGCAACCAACAAGTTCAGGAGGGTTTTTCCAGGTTGATGGAAGAGAAGGAAAACTAATTCAATCTGTTGATTAAAAACAAACAAACAAACACGCTCTGCTGCCCAGGAAATGTTTTATAAGAATCTAATTTCACAGACGTGGTCTTTTTTTTTTCCAGAAAGGAGTGGGAAAACAACCTCCAACATCCTGGTTAAAGCCAGGAAAGTTGTTCTCTACCATGAATTCACCTGTTAAAAACTACAAATATCCCTGCAGTCAAGGAAACAGACATAGGTCCTTTCTGAAGCTGAGAAATTCTGTAATTCCTCTCATGAAGAGGCCTTCACTGAAGCTGAGTAACTTCTCAATTCCACTGCCTACCCCACCCTTTATTTAATCAACCTGGACTTTATGATCTGAAAGAGAACTGTCTCCTAGTTTTACATGCAAAAACTCTGACATGATGAAATTCTCATCTCCACTGCGGTTTGCAAATATTACATAATATGGATTAATGTGCTCCAGTATGAATTTAACTGCATGCAGCTATATTGAAATGATTCCACATTAGTGTGTAATGTTGGGACAAGTTTCCTTGCATCCTGGAAACCATATGCAGCGTAAAGAACAAGATGAAAATATATAGAAAGACTTGAAATTAAGTATTTTTAGTGCTTAGAAAACTGGAACAACAACAGAAGACCGCAGTCTAAACAGCCTCCTCAATTCAGGGAGTCTCATCCTCACTGTGGGAAGATAAATTCTAAAGAGGGAAAGGCAATTCATTTTCCATGCTCTTACCTAGTAAGTACTTGCCTTGAAAATATGTCTTTTTACATATGTCACTGAAAACACATCAGATGGGAGTGACACTCCTCACTGCTGAGTGGAGTAGGATGAAAATTACAAGCACAGCAATAAATCACTATACTACTCTGTTACTATATTGTGAGGGTTATTGAGCACCCATTTCCTTCCACCCTAAGGCAGAAAAGGAAAAACAAACACGTGCAAATATTTATATTTATATATATACAGATATATATACCCAGCAGTATCTGCATATGTACACACCAGCCATCTAGAGTCCTAGCTAGGCAATTTAAATTCCTGTGAAGCCTCTGTTCTTAGTGTTGCCTGTCGGGTGCCTCTAGGCCTTCAGATGCTCCCAGCCACACACAAAATGAATCCCAGGAAGGTGGTTACGCACTCCTACAAATGCTGGCAGCGCAGGATTAAAAAAGTAATGAATAAATAAATAAATAATAAGATAACACCTCAAAGTTCTGCAAGATCAGATCCTAAAAACAAGCTTTGCAACTGCACCTTTCATGAAGCCAGAACCCAAGGCAGTCCCATGTAGGGGACAGGTGGAAGGATACCTCTGTTCTGAAGTCAATTCCTACCTTGTCACCACAGTCCGTCATCATCGTATTTTTGCAGGTTAACTAACTTAAAAACAGTAATAAATAGTTATTTAAGTAATGTGGGTAGCCAGAGATACGTAACGACCTTGCAGGTGTGGACCCAGATCTCTCTCTGCAACACACTTTCTGCACCACAAGAAGATTTTTCCAAATAGTAAAACAGTATACTTCTCTGTGGTGATATATTACTATTTGCCAAAGAGTAAAATGGGATAATTGTGCCTCCTTCCCCCTGACCCCCACTGTCAGTCTGCTAGGCAGACGGTCCCTCCCCACCAAAACAAGGTTCTAGCTCAGCCGGAGAGGCCGAGAAGCAGCATTACAGACACTCACGGCCAAGCCCAGCAAACCAGTTTCAGAGCAGAGCCCTAACAAGGCTCTAGCACACGTCCCAGGCAGGATCCTGCCGACAGAGACAGTCGCAAAAAGCAGGCACGGGCGACACACGCAAATACACCCAAAAATCTCATTTAAAGCATGAACAAGCCTAAATTAAAAATAATCAGACAGCAGTACCACCTACTTGAAAGAGCAAAACGAGCTGGTTTTGGCCACTGCCAGAGCACAATATTTGAATGTATCTGATGGCTTTAGAGTGGGCTTTCCAGTGGTCTCGTAGGTCAGGAAGGTAGAATTGATCTAGTGTTAATCCAGCACTTCGCGGCTCTACTTTTAAATCCAAATCCATTCTTTATACATGTCTCCATGACATAAACTGGAATAATTCACAGTCCTATAAAGCAGTTTAGGTCAGGCAAAAATCTTGGCCAGCCAACTTCAGCAAGTTTCACCACTGATTTGCCCTTGAAGAAGGCCAGTAAGGATGGCACCGCTTATGTAACGTGCCTGCATCACATGAGATGGAAAACTATATAGACAAATGCAACTAAAGAAATACTCAGCTATTTGGCAACAGCACCTGTCTTGCACAGACTAGGAAGAGACCTGGAATCCCACCTCTGCGTTAGTAAAATCTAAAATGAAGAACGATTTATACGAGAGGCTGTTCTTCACCTTCACGGTGATTAATTGCAGGCGCAGGCATTTCTGCCAGGCAGACCGCAGCTGACGGAGGAAGTCACAGTGAGACCCTAAGACCCCCATCACGAATAACAGCACCGTTTTGCTCCACACAGCTGCCCACATCTGCAGAGCACAAGAGCAGAGAGCGAAGGCGCCAGGATCCATCGCTGCCTGGATATTTTGTCATCCTGTTGTGCGACTTCGGGCCAGGAGATTCACCTTCCTGTCCCCAGAAAGTGGGCAGCCAGCCAAACCAAGGGGGAAAGGAGCGCAGGAGCCTTCTGCCAAAACCAGCCAGCCCTGAGAGGCCAATCAGCCTCCCTGAGAGAGAGCAGCACTGGGACAGGTTACGCACAGAGAGTACCAAATCACCCCAAATAAACCCAGGGTGACTGTCAGCATCACACCAAACCCCTGTTGCAGAAGCAAGACCACGACCCACATCTCAAGGGTGGCCTTTCCATTGCCTTAAGCACAAGGTGCCTTAAAGCCCCTTCCCGAAGGGTCTCCAACTTCTAACTCAAGTCACTCCTCACCACCCAACACTTTTGGCCAAGAAGGTGGGACTGGGACTTCCACTGGCTGCACACCCACAGCCTCACACCAGCTTGGTCCACCCTGGGCAGCAGGAGAAGCAGAAACCTCACATACACACACGGCACTTGGGATCTGAGGTTGTGTGGGGCTCGTAAGGCAGATTAAAGGCAGATCCTTAAAGGCTGCATCCTTTCTTCAACTGCAATAGTTTTAAATAAAATCATCCTAAAGGTACGATAGCACAGCGTTTATTTCAGCAATAACAAATAGCAATTAGCAAAACTTCTGTCTAAATCACTGAAGCAGCATTATGCCCTTAAAAAACAAAATCCCCAAAAAACACACACACAAAAAAGCAAGCAATCTGTAAAAACAATTAGAGTGCAATAACATTAAATATCTCTGAGGATGACAAGCCATTTTACTGTAGGTAAATTAGACACATTAGCCATTAGTGACTCTAATGACTGTCTTACTCCTCTTCTGACCATTTTGTAGTGCGAACAGTTCAAGATCAAACAGTTTCCCATCTGACTGGCTGACTATTATTCAGTATTTGCCAGAGATGAGACATTTCCACGGCAGACAGTTTGGTACCCTCGGTGTCTTTTAACTTCTCACTACTAGTGTCCTTGAGTTAGATATTAGCTCATGCTCAGGAACTCTGAATACCCCGCGTTTGAAGCCCTTAAGGGAAGCTCTGTTCAGCTGAGGAAAGTTTTGGACCAGGAGCTCTTTTGCTAACCTCGACGGTATCCTCGGCCTTTTCGACCACCACCGCGCACGGCTCCGCTGCCAGCAGGACTCGGCACGCAGGCATCACGCAGGGATTACTCACCCAAGTCACACATGCAGAGCCAAGCCTGACAGCGGGTTTTAAACGCAGATCCACGCCAAAGTCAAAGGCTTAACTGTGCCCGTTTGCTTCTTCTCCTGTGCTGCCTTTACGTACAGTGTGCTTAACTGTTCTCCTGTGCTGCCTTTACGTACAGTGCATAGCACAGGTGGAAGACTGAGCCCTCCCAGGATCAATCCATGGCTACTCACACTGTATTTACACTCAAAAACCAAATCTGCTGCGAGTCCATATTCAAACCCATAACTCTCACACAAGCATCAGGACAGTTCGGGCATCAGCAAGACTGTAACCTCACTCAGGGTTTTCCAACCCCCAGACAGGAGGAAGGAGCAGCCGCGGGGATGAAGGGTTTTGCTGGTACTCACCTGCCAGAGCTCAACCCAAATTGCCACAGACATTTTCTTTGACCTTGGTAAGTTACTCACTAAAATTCTCTTTGATTCAGCTACAGTTACCTACTAAAATTCTCTTTCATCCAGCCGCAGACCATAATAGGGGAACAGTATTTCCTGATTTTCAAAGTGTGTTTCAATAAAGTTAATTACCAGATGACAATAATCTACTTTAGCAATAGGAGTGAAGCCAGATTATAGGAGGAGGAAGACACAAAACTTATTTTACGTAGCAAGATCCAGGCTACCTGCACACCTTGAAAGGACTCCAGAAGACTATTATGCAAAATATTAATATGAAGGCTTGCTTTTTCTCATATATTTTTTTAGCACGCTAGTGAGTATAAGTTTATCCTCAATAAAAAACAAAATTGTTTGATAACCAGAAGAGGTGACAGGAGGGCTAGGAAAAAATAGCAGCTAATGTGGTTGTTCTTAAATATATAGTATGATTTTATTAAAATCCGTTTGACATTATGCAAGGCACTGCCACTTCCAAGTTCCAGCACAGGGCTGCCGTAAGGCTCTATACCCGTTCCTCGGTTAGAATACAGACTTTCATTCACAGGAACTTGGAGCTTTTTCTGTAGCAAAGAGCACATCATTCTGTCAGTAATCCAACACTATAGAGCAATGCACTTAGACATGGGCCTTGCTCATGCTAAGAGAAGCAAATTAATGCAGCAAAAAAGCAGATATACAGCACAATTATTTGAATATTTTGATATATTCACTATGCATCTCCAGCACACATTTTCCTTTAAAGGCTTCCTTTTTTTTTTGTTCTTTCCTCTTTCCTGAAGCATATTGGTTTAAAGCTCGTTATATTTAGCACTGAGCCAGCTCATCAAGACATACGGACAAGAAACAATAGCTTTTCTTTGAGGAAGATCTTTTCAATAATCATCGTGCTCAGGGAGTGGCAAAACAAATGGAAGTAGAATAGCTAGAGAGTCAAAGAAACTTGAGTTTGTTAACCACAAGGGAGAAATCACTACAGATCAGTTTTTAAGATGAAAGTTGCCCATTTCCAGAACATTTGATTTACAAATATAAAAGCAGTATATTAAAAGTCTTTCCTACATCGCCTATCTGGACCATCTTTTTAAAAAGCTGGATTCTTTCCCCCCACCCCCTCCCCAAAAAATGGGCACCAGTAGCATAACAGGAATAAGATGAATTAAGATCTGGAAACATCAACCAAATTTCTTCCCACAACTTTCTTCTCCAGTATGTAGGGATGCGGACCCCACGTTACCATCACCTTACAGTTAACCCTGGGCTAAAGAAGGAGCCTCTCTGCGGCCTACGCGATGCGACGGTGTTTAGGTGCACGCACTTATCCATCCTTCACCTATGTTCCTGGCAGCCTGGGGGTAAAAGGAGTTTTGGAAAAAATGCCTGGTCTGAGGGGAGTTTCTGTTATCCGAGCAGACCCGATACATAGGGTGATCACATGCTGGCTGCTACTGATGTCAAATGAAAGTTTATATATATATATGTGTGTGTGTGTGTGTGTGTGTCAAAGGGCTTCAAATAAAGTGATAAGCCGCTCTTTTTCTAAGGAGTCCCTGGGAATTCTGGTGCGGTTCATTCCGGCAATTCCCAAACACCTTCTTTTGTTGTTGTTGTTCCTGCAGCGAGTTTGAGGAGCTCTTCCACTGGCTAGCTGGGAGCCGGGGGGCAAAGGCAGCCCCCGCCCGGGAAGGGAAGGGGAAGGGGAAGGGAAGGGAAGGGAAGGGAAGGGAAGGGA